AACAAGGGGGGTGACATCCACTCCTCCTTCCTATCCGGCAAGCACAGTTCCACCGAGGAAAGAGGTTGCTTTATTCCCTTGTCTCTTCCTACTTCTGCCCATTGCCCTGCACGGCTGTTCCTCCATGCAGATCCTGTGATCTCAGAAATGAATTTTCCAGGTGTCAGAAAGAGTTACAAAAACAGAGAGAAAAATGAGAAAACTCTCTGTGCTTTTCATACCTGCATAGCTGGTAGCAATTAGTAGTGGAGACTCTATGTTTGGCTTCTAGAATCCAGCTAATACATTGTGGTCAAGTAATAATAAATAATGAGGTCCCCATCAATGTTCCCTCTAAGCTGTAGAGTCTCGTGAGCGAAAATTCTCCTCTGTGAGCTCCTGGCATTCAAGTTGTGAGCGAGCGATTTGGCTGCTGCATAAATTAGTCTGCTCTGAAGCCATCCCTTCCTGAGCTAAGGCAAAAATGTGTGAGCCGGAGGCTAAAAAACTGTGAGCTAGCTCACACTAACTCAGCTTAGAGAGAACACTGGTCCCCATTATGGGGACTGGATGCCAGAAATACTGGGAGCCCAGCCCTAGGAATAAGAAACCACCACATTGTAGCACCAAAGATAAAAGAGACAGGAACTTAATGGGAGGATAGCCATGATTCTGGCTTTAGGTAAGGATAATCAACAGTCAGGAAGGTAGAAAAATCTCTCAAGAATTGGTAGGCACACCTACTTTGCATAATACTTAGGATACTGTGGAATCCAGCACTTTTACTGAAAGTTCTGTTTTGAAACTGAAGATTGTGACGTGAGGGTATTGTTTCCATGGCTCTCTGTCATTAAATCCGTTGAGTGTTGAAGAAATGGTGTCTTCTTTTTCTGGTATCAGTGCAACTCCCAAAGTCTGAGAAGCTGTGGACCATTCACAAGCCCTAGTTTAACCCTAGTTCTAAAAATCCCAATTTCTCTCTCATATGCCTGCTATCGATCCTGAAAACCACGGAAGACTTGTGAACAGTTTTTCCAGTGACACATCTAGTTTGGTGTCACTGAGGGGAGAAACTGTGTACCATTTCAGACTGTAGGTGGAAGTTCCCATAACTTAATGCCCCTCCATATTAAAAATGCCCTGCACATAGACAACTAGGTGTCACAAAAAAGGCCCCACCTGAATCATTCTCCTTGACATCTGAATTCTCCACTGGGAGGAAATGTGTGCCTGAATTGGTGGTGGTGGAAAGTGCTGTCAAGTCACAGCTGACTAATGGCGATCCGGTAGAGTTCGAGGCAAGAGATGTTCAGAGCTGGTTTGCCATCGTCTTCCTCCATGTCACACCCCTGGTATTCCTTGCAGGTCTCCCATCCAAATACTAGCCAGGGCTGACTCTGCTTAGCTTCCAAGATCTGACAAGATCGGGCTAGCCTGGGCATGAATTAGGAGCATTTAGTCTGGTGAGCTGCACCTGCAGTGGAGTTGGAGACCTCCTGGAATTAGAATTCATCTCCAGACTACCGATATCAGTTTCCCTGGGGAAAATGGCTATTTTGTAGGGTGGACTGGACAGTTGTATGAAGTGATACCACTATACCTAATTTGGCCCCAATAGTAATATTTGAATTCTCTATTAAAAGCAAGAAAAAATATAAATAAAACAGAGTGTACAAGGAAGGCTCACTACAAAATACATTGAAGTCAATGTAACAATTGACACTGACTTCTTTCACTTGTTTTGGAATAAGCCCTGAAGGAAATAATGTTCAGCTCTGTGTTTCAGCATTATTTTATATGTATTTTACATGATTCAGTTAAGAGCTTTGCCCTGCAGAGCTTATTAGAAAAGGTCTTGACTCACTGCCAATAAACCCCTTGGGAGTCTCGCAAGGGAACAGTAAGTCAGTTTTTATTCATCAGGGAAAATACCTTAGTTAAAAACCAATCTGGTATTTTAATTCCACGTGCCTTCTCCAGAGGGTTTCATTACATGTAGATCACAAATGCTTGGATGTAGCAACAAATTATTCCCAGTACAGCCCAAATCCTTTAATAATCCTATGTCGTTCTGATAGTTTTAGTTGACGTATGTGGGTATTCAAAACAGCCTGATTTATACAACATTACTATAGCGGTAAATGGTGCATCTTGGGGCTGGTAACTATTATCCTGAATGCTCCACTCTTGTCGCTCCTCATATAAAAGATGCTATTCAATATGGAATATCATCGGGATACATTCCAAACTCAAGTGTGTCCTGGATGATGGTGGTGGTGGTGGTGGTGGTAATAGTGGCTTCATTTCCTTATAATGCAAAAACCTGGCAAACAAAAGATCAGTTATGGTGAGATATTTTTGATCCCTGCATCTAATCCTGGAGCCCTTAGTTCTATTTGTTGCCCTCAAACCTTCTTGACTAACCTAATGGCTCATAAGAGACCTTTCTACTGTTACCCAAAGAGGCAGTCTCCTATTTGGTTGGGGGAAATTAGATTTAAAGGAGACAAAGTGAGAGGGGGTAACTGGGATTCTCCACCTATGTATATGGGGATTTTGCCCTTAGTGATCTCTCAAAATAAACCAATCAGATGTTCCCCTGGAAAGGGATTTATTGAAATAGGGATAAAAGAGCAAAACACACATACAAACACATAGAAAACACACAAGCTAGCTATGAGGAGATCAGGGAGGAGAGGGAGAAAGCAATTTCAGAGAAGGCTATTCAATTACCAGTCTTGAAGAAAGAGGTCCATGGAGGTGACAGTGAAATGACTAGTGTTTCACGGAGAAAAGGATAAGATCCACATGAAAGTGGGGGTGTATGTATGCCTCCCAGAACACACAGAATTTGGCGACAGTTTGAGACTAGGTTACAGCTACATACTATTTAATTGTCTAGTTTGTATCCTAACAGGGTTACATTCTTCTATATCCACTGAAGTCAGTGGGCTTAGAAGGGTGTAACTCTGGTTAGGAATGCACTGCAAGAACCAAACTAGATGTGACATAATCCCTAAGTCCACCATGGGGACACCTCTGCCATTTTAGGACTGAAATTCCTTCTGTTTACAAAAGTCTTGGGGGCTGAATCCTAAATTGGCTACAGGATCGGGGAAAGAGGGGTTCCTGCCCCCCCCCTCATGTGCACAGTTTTTAAAAGTCCAAGTGCTGGGGGGTTGAGTGCTTGAAATAGGAAGGGGGGGTGACAGGAACCCTTCTCATTGTTTTAGGTCCCTTTCATATGGGCTCTTTAAACCTGCTTCTGAAGGCAAACATATTTTTAAGGTTTTACATGGATAAAGTGCAAGAGCAGCAACAACAACAATAAAACGATCAACACAAGTTTTGGAAAACCCAGATTAAAGCTTCATTAACTGCAGATGGACAACATCTAATACATGACATATATGAAACCCAAAAATCCCTGCTTGTCTATAGAAGACAAAGTGGGTTAAAGAGCCCATATGAAAAGGACCTTAATCAACAATTTGCTTTTCCTGAAAAATTTATTTCTAAACTTTTCCAGAGACACATCATCCCAAACCTACAAAATGAAATCACAAGATGCATCTACATTTAAATGCTAATTTTATTTATTTATTGTATAAAGCCTTCTGCCTTATGGAGTATAGTTTGAAGACAGGCTAACTCCAACATTATCAAACGTTTGACTTTCTTAAAATATAGCATCTCGAAACCATGAGGCACACTTAACAGTCTGGAGATTTGGAGACCATTTGGTAGTAACTGTTCTGCATGCTGCTGTCAAAATCTTTCAGATATGCTGTCATGACATTCTCAAGCTGTTTATTTCCTTCCAAGTGACAGAGGAGATTTTCTGAAATCTAGCCATGGTTGATGAATCATAGGCATGTCTCTTACTCTTCTTTGGTCTGAATCTATAACTTCTAAAAATATATATTTTGAAAGAAAGTAATCTCAGCTTGACTATTCAACCTACTTAGATAACTACAATATTTGACCACAATATTTCAATGTATTTGATATTAGCAAATTTACCTGGCCTGCATGAACTATTTTAACAGCAAGAGTAAATGTATAACTATAGTGCCACCTTGTGGCGCAAAGTGGCCCCTGCACCTTCATATGCATGTAGCATTCTTCAAATGTTAGAGGTGACATGCCAAAAGATAATCCAGTATATTGGAGGTGGTGGAAAGAGCTGTCAAGACCCACCCAATGTATGGTGATGCCATAGGACTTTCAAGGCAAGAGATGTTCAGAGGTGGTTTGCCATTGCCTGCCTCTCTATAGCAACTCTGGACTTCCTTGGTGGTCTCCCATTCAAATACTAAGCAGGGCTGACCCCGCTTAGCTTCCAAGATTTGATGATATCAGTCTAGCCTTGGCCATATAGGTCAGGGCAAGTATATGTATGTATATACATTTTACGGTTATATTTCAGGGTGGAAACACCCATCCAATTAGGGGGTATGTTGTCAGTGTGATTTCTAACTTCGTCTTTCATCCTAACAATGTGGGCAAGATAAATAACGTCCTATACTGAGGAGTATAGAAGCAACCACAATATGGAGTCAACTGCACAAGTGAATATAGATAAACCAGGCTTCAGAAGTGCCCAGAGTTGAACCTAAGCATTTGATGGTCGTCAACAGAAACATAATTACTCCATGTTGATCTTATATAAGGACGGTCAACTGGCAGCTTGCAGGCTAGATCTGGTCCCAAGGAAAAAATGTTCAGGATCCTGATGACCTCACTAAATTGTATTCAATGTTTTGCAAAAATAATTTTGTAGTTTCACTGATAGGGAAAAATTAGCTTTAAAAGTTCCACACTTACGGTACAATCCTAAGAATAGTTACTCTGATCTAAACCCATTGATTTCACTGGTCTTAGACTGGAGTAACTCTGTTTAGGATGCACTGAAAATATTAGTTTTCTCTTTTTTGATTCTGTGGGTAACATGTAAATGTACATATCTGGATGCTTTGCTATCTGTTACACAGCATGTGTTCCACCAATATAGGTGCCAGCTTTACTATGGATCCTGACCACTCATACACATATAAATTAATATCTGCTCCTTTCCCCCAGATTATTGTCATTTTGAAAACAATGAAATAGCCCATTTATTCTGCTGGAGCACTTCAGGCCCATTACAGATTTTCCAGTACATGGCAGGGTGGGTCAGCTCCCTCACATTCTTGCATAGACGTGTACTTGACAGGAGGAGGTGGAGGCTTGAAAGATGGCGGTCGGTTCATACTGAAAATGAAAACAGGGCTTTGAAATGTAAGCAGCCGATAAAACAAACAGGATAAAACAGTAGTCAAGGCACACAAAATCACTCATGTTCACCATTCTGTAAAGAAGATACGACTGTCTCAGACAGTAACTATTTTCGGTAGCACTATTTGTGCCAAATTCTTATTTTATTACCACCAAGTTCTTTCCCCCATAAACATGTTTGAATGACCAATAATGATGAAAATGGCCATTGTGGTGCCAAAATTTACACAAGCACAACTCCACTGATTTTGACTGGACTGCCAGGTGCAATAATAGGTGTAGGAGTGCAGTCAGTGGCTTCACTGGGTTCAGGGTTCACTGTACCTGAAAAAAATGTATGGTTTATGGACAGTGATTTCTAAAATCCTTCTAATGTTGCTGTCAGGTTAGCACTACTTTTCAGATATTACAGATTTTTTAAAAGAGTTTTCACTAGGGCTGCCAAACCGCGGCGGGGGATCCGTGCGTCGTCGCAGGATCGCTGCCACGGGGGGACAGCGATCCGCGTTGCACCGGCGTCGCCAGGATGTGACTCTATGCGTCGCCCTGGCAACGGGACTCCAAACAGCTCCGTTGCCAGGGCAATGTGTAGCGTCACATCCTGGCGACACCGGTGCAACGCGGATTGTTGTCCCACCGCGGCAGCGATCCTGCAACGACGCACGGATCCCCCGCCGCGGTTTGGCAGCCCTAGTTTTCACAGATGTTAGAGTTTGTTCAGTTTTGTCAGAATTAAAAGTGTTGACATTTATGATTGGCAATGTCGGGAGGATCAGATAGTTGACTGTATGAGGGTTACCATCATTCATTTCCTTGAACAGTAGCCAGTAGGGGTGCACACAGATGTTTTATTTGGGTTCAGGTTGTTGGAAGTGAATGAGACTGTGCCTTTTTTCAGAGCTCATTGGTTTGGTGGGGGAGTAAAGCTAGCAAGACTCAGTCAGTTCCTGTATTTTGTCTGCTGTGCTACTGTCTCTTAGTTACCCAGAATACTAGGGGTTCCTTCATTTGGCTAACTCCTTTGCTTCCTGTTTCTCTTTAATTCACTCCAACCCTTGGTCCCTCCCCCCGTAACCTTTCCCATAAGATTTCTGTTAAGTCGGTTACTTAACAAAGAGTCAGAGAGTGATTTCAGCAAAAGATCAGCTTTATTCAGCAACTCCTAACTCAACTCCAAACAGATCAACATGAATAGCCAGAACAGCTTTTACATTGCACCTGTTCTGCTTTTAAACTCTCCCGGCTAATGTAGCCATGCCTACTGTACATTTACCAACCAATAAGGTTGTATACATAAGGACCCATCACGGACGTTCCCGCTCAGGGAGCTTGCTGACAAGTGATTGGTTGGTTCTTCCTGGGCTATCAGTGCGATTGGATGGATTTGGATCCTAGCCCAGGACGAAGCTTAACATTGTACTTAGATGATTCATGTATTGCAATGGCAGCTATTGAATACATTACAAATTCCTCCCCCCTAAGTAAAAAAATTCATTTACATTCGTAATCACTTAGGTAGGTTGGTGCTCGGCGCACCCGCTGAGACCTGCGTAGCGGTACAGGCTCAGGACACAATTCAGCTTGGGGGGCCCTGCTTGACTCTGGGATCTCAGAGTCAGGTACACTACACTACACCACTACGATTTCCCCTTCACATCTTTATCTCAAGAAGTGGGCTCTGTCTCAGTGAAATCTCATCATGAAATAAATGTTGTTAGTGTTTGGGGAGCTGCTGGTCTTTCGTTTTGTTTTGCTGCGACAGAATGACACGGCTACCCATTTGCAATCTTTTTCTAACACTGCCTTGATGGGCTCACTGCAGTCTCTCCCTTTGAGGACAGACAGATGGATAAGACAGACAGATGGTGACGGAAAGTGCCATCAAGTCACAGTTAACCTACGGCAAAGGTGGCCAAACTTGCCACACAGAATAAACGTTAGATGTTTGAGAGCTGCAAGACATGAACAGATATCACACACACATTTTTATTGAAAAATATGCAAATTTGCTTTTTATTAACATTAAATTAGACTGTGTGAAAGAGCTGCATGTGGCTCCCGAGCTGCAGTTTGGCCACCCCTGACCTATGGCAACACTGCAGGGTTTCCAGGGCAAGAGACAAATAGAGGTGGTTTGCCCTTGCCTGCCTCTGTGTAGCAACCCTGGACTTCCTTGGTGGCCTCCCATCCAAACCTGGCTTGCTGCTGGGCTTGTATATTTGATCCTCCCCCTCCCTTCTCTTGTTGACGGTTGTAGTTAGTCACAGACTTCAGTTATCTATGAGGTACAAACACAAGTGTGCAACCTAACAGGACTTACTTTTCCTCCTCTGCTAACCAGGATCCTAAACCAGGGTTTAATCCAAGCTTAGAAACCCAGTTATTGGAAAGAAATTTATGGGTAACCAGCATCAGTGTTTAATTATCTGTGGGGAAAGGGGGGATGTTGTGTCCTGACCTAGCCATGTGCTCAATCCAGTTTCGGCCTGTTCCACATGCGGTCAGGTGAGGTACCTGAGCTTCCCTCCCAAACACAATAGATGTTTGGATCCTAGTTCCCAGCTAATCGGGAACCTAGGCTCCCCAGGAATAATCTAATCAGTGTAAATAGACCATTCACGGGGTGTGTGTGTGTGTTTTCCTTGGGGCATATAACCTGGCCTGCGAGCCGGCTACTTTGTCTTGTTCTTCTCCGAATAAAGTATGAGAGCTGAATTCACTAAGTAAGTCTCAGTACTTTTCAGGGGAGCTGTAAGGTGCATGCACAGACCAACAGTTCATACACATTTCTCCTTAACTGCAGCAACAAGTGATGTCTGAGTATAGTTTAAGAGAGGGCATCATAAAGGTTTATAAAGTTAGGCATGGTGTGCATTGCCTGGAGTAAACAGACTGACAGAATTTTTTCATCTCCTATTACTCTAGAAGTGACTGATTGTCACATCTCCCATTACTCAGCCAGTGACTGATTGTAGATTCAGAATAGGGATAAGGAAGAAGTATTTTCTCCCAAAGTATATAATTGATTTGTGGAATTCACTGGCTGCTGGCTCAGATGCTTTAAAAGGAGATTAAGCACATCCACAGAGGACAGGTCTGTCAGTGGGTAGCATAGGACCATCAGTTCAGAGCAGTATTGCAGCTCTGGGAGCAAACAATGGTGGCGTGCTATTGCTTTCATTTCCTGTTGGTTGCAGTTTCCCAGAAAAAAAAACTGGCTGGCCACTATGAGATGCTGGAATATGTGGACATTTGGTCTGATCCAGCAGTGCTTCTTAGGTACTACACAATTTACTTCTCTCCCTCCCCCTCTCTCCTTCCTCCCCTCGTATTAAAGTACAAAATGCTACATGAGTCTCATTGTACTTACATTTCTTTTTGATAATGGCACCATGTTCTGATCCCCAAAATCATTAAAAAACTGCAGATGGAAAGCAATGCTGCTATGAACGCTGGCCAGGAGAAATGACGGGGTCCAGGATTCGTTGTGACACCTGCAAAAATTATAGAACACCCCAGCTTCACTCTATACAATAAGCTTTGGGAAATGACATTGTTCAAATTTCTAAACTAAAGGCTTTTTAAAACTACATGTAGGGAGTCTCGGTAGTTACACCCAAGCAGAATTGAATTTTTTGAAGTGGGGAGTCACAGTTATAGCACCAATTCCTGTGATAAGAGCAACTCGGAAAAAATATAGTTATGAGGCCAGAAATTGTGGTGGGCCACATCTGTATTCCATTTTTTTTCCACAGCGTATTTCTCTAAATGGGTGTATGACAGAGGAAACATCGAGACTACTTATGTACAGTTATTGTGTGAACCAATCCTAACTTGCACATCAATGCATCTGTGAATCCATATTGCTCTTGAAAGGGAATCTGGAAGTCTCAATTAGCTCTATGAGAGGTGAAGTTACGGGCCTCTTTTGAAAGAGATTGTGAGATATAGGGGTGATATGAGCATTTGTTTTCTGAGTGTGTGGGCCCCCAATTCAGAATCAGATTGGGTCTTGGCACAGCAAGAGATGGGAATTCAGCCTCCCCCCACCCTGGTACTGTTTTCCCAGTCCAAAGACAGCATCGGGGGGGGGGTGTTTTCCCAGTTGGAGGGCTACACATGTAGCCCATCAGTACATGTTCAGCTTAATAAGCTTAATATTACTGGATGTCCTGATGGCACCTGGAATTTTTGGCCACTGTGTGACAGAGTGTTGGCCTGATCCAACATTGGCTTCTCTTATGTTCTTATAGTCTTATGTTTAATATGAAAATTACTTTTGGGGAATAAAAAAAAGTCTACTTACCAGTACTATCAAGGCTACCCCTTACAGTGGGAGAATTACCAGGGCTAATTAATGAGGTTAGTTCAGTTGCTCTTGTGGCAGTCAGACTGTCTAAAAACAAACACACACACACACACACACAGAAGATACATTATCTTGAACTGATTATCGTATGGATTTTTAAAAGGTGTTATCACACCTTTCCTGATCCTTGCCGACCTGCATTGGGGCATCCCAGCCCACGGAATGGGAAGAGGAGGTGGCGGCACCACCATATTGCTCACTCCTCCCGGGGTGTCTGATCACTCACCTCCAGGGCAGTATTCACTCCTGCTTCCCTGGCCTGATTCTGGAGCCTGCTTTTTAAAGGATGTGCCATGTTCTGCCCCTCTTCCCAGACTGCCCACTCCCTTTCCTGCTACCTCCTGAGCACCCTGGCCCGATGTGCCAGAGGGTGGGGAAACTGCTCCCTCCCCCTCTCCTTTGCTTTGAGACAAGCAGACCCCGCCACCCCGCCCCTGCTGGTCTCCCCATGGCTACTGTCAGAGGCTGCCCACTGCAGGCTGCTCTGCCAGCGGACTCCGCCCCTTCCTCCCCTGGGGCATGGCTGCGTTGGCCAGCGACATCAGCCCTTTTTAGAAGGACTGTGTGCCATTTCCAACTTGGCCTGGCCACATCCCCGCCTCTTCAAGAGCTGCACGGGTAGGTCTGTGGCCACTGTGGACTGGGCCACAGCTGAATCCCTCACCATCGAATCCGGTGCCAGGGTCTACAGAGGGGGCTGCCTCCTTTGGTCCCAGGGCGAGCACCATCCTTAGACACCACTTTTACGTGGGATTACTTTTAAGAACCCCCGTGCACATTGTTTATGGCCTTGTGGTTTTGCCTTTCACCTTTTCTTTGGTTTGTACTGCATCCATTCTCTCCTATTTGTTATCGTCTTTCAAAAAAAGTACAATATATTACAATGGCTTGATTTTAATTTTCTGCATTAAAAAAAACCCTTATAACTTTTAAGTATGCTCAGGTAACCTGCCAGTTGGGCAAATACCTTTATTTATTCAGATCAGAGATTTATACCCTGCTTTTCTCCAGTTTACAACGTTATTCTCTCCTCCTCCAATTTATCTCCAAACAACCCCATGAGGTAGGTTAGGCTGAGAGTATGTGACTGGCCCAAGGCCACCCAGTGGGCTTCTATGGCAGAGCAGAGATTAGAACCTGGGTTGCCCAGATCCTAGTCTATCTGCTGTACCACACCCATCATTTGAGAGCAGGGAGCTGATTTTATAGTGTGATGTTTGGATGTGTCTATTTTGCACGATTACACTACTTTCTCACAGGATTAGAATGCTTTTTTGCAGCAGTCCCATCCCCCAGACATTCATCTGTCACTGCTTCCAGTCTTAAAAGTCACAAATCAAGATATCAGGATCCAGAACAAAATGATTTGGTTAACGAACAATAGATCTGAGACAGGAACAATGACTCACCAGTAAGATTAAACCCACCCTTGACAGTGGGTGAAGAGCTAGGGACAGTCTGTGAGGTCAGGTCAGTCACTCTTTTGGTAGACAGATTGTCTTTAAAAAAACATACATAATGTATCAGAAAGGCTTGATTTTAACATTTTGAGTTTTTGGAAAAAAATGATACCACTATAAGGTAGACTCGAGGACCTGGTGATTTGGCTCACAATCATACTCACCATTTGCAAGCAGAGATCTGAGTATTTAGAGGAAAAATATGTTTGAATTACTATTTAGGTGTCTCCATGTGCCTCTGGTGTCTGTTCATTATGACTGCGAATCTGCTTTCCTCTCTGCTGATGTCGGCAAAAGAATGCCTCTGTAATTTTTTTTCCAGCTTGACCCAATTAGCATTGTCATGTCATGATATCAGGAGTATTACTTCATGTTAGACATGGTGGAATGGATTTTTTTTTAAGTAGAAAAGAGCAAAAGTCCAGTAGCACCTTAAAGACTAACAAAATTTGTGGCAGGGTATGAGCTTTCGTGAGTCACTGCTTACTTCTTCGGCTACCTGTGTCTCTTTTCTAGTGCTAAAGACAAACATGGCTACTCATCTTGATCTATTTTTTAAAAAGAAAAGGTGAGTGTGTAAGCAGTTCACAGGATTACAACTGGAACTTCAGGAACCAAAGCTGCAGTGGCCTGGTGCTGTAGAACGGGTGGCTAAAGCACAGGTGCAAAGCTGCTTGACATAAACTTTGACAACACCCATCAGGGTGATCCGATCAGGAGCTTGCCTCATGTCTAATCGAGGCAGTCCAGCAACATAAATTCCCTTGGCTATCTTGTCTGGGTCCAAGTTGGCAGCGTGGTAAACCACTATGACACTGAATCCCATTTTAGCATCCCTATGCATATGGTTTATGGCTGATAGAGCAGGTCTGAACAATCTCATTGGCTCACCTTTCCTGTTATCTAATCTGATTGGCTATGGCTTTGCAAGTGCACTCCTTGATCTGTTTCTAGGGACCAAGGGAACCCGGGATTTGGTGGGGGAGAAAGAGAGATGGGGGAATACTGACAGAGAAGGCTGGGGGGAAGAAAGGGGGTAAACTGTCAGAGAAGAGAAGAGATTGGATTTACACCCCACCTTTTACTACCCAAAAGAGGCTCAGAGTGGCTTACAATCTCCTTTACCTTCCCCTCCCCACAACAGACACTCTGTGAGGTAGGCGGGGCTGAGAGAACTCTTGACAGAAACTGCTTTTTCCAGAACAGCTCTGAGAGAACTGTGACTGATCCAAGGTCACACCAGCAGCTACATGTGGAGGAGTGGGGAATCAAACCCAGTTCTCCCAGATTAGAATTCGCACTCTGAACCACTACACCAAACTTGGGGACAGAGGGAGAGAAATATGGGGGGAGATTGATGGAGAGGTGGGTAAGATTGTCAGGAAAGGAGAAGGGGGAAATAGAAGGGAAAAGATTGACATAGAAGGTGAAGGGGGGGAGAATGAGTGGGGTAAAATTGTCAGGGGAGAAAGGGAGGGTGGGAGATTATTCGAGAAGGGGGGGGAGAGGGAGGGGAGCAAAGGTGTGGGAGGATGTGATGCACCCTCCCTGCAGGTTTGTTCCAGGTTCCCACTTGTTTTTCATACTTATCACACTATAGTAGCGGTCCACATCAAAAAAGTGCTGAACACTTACGTCCTGGTAGTGTTAAGGTCTGATGGGGGGTGACACGCAGAGAGGCCTTTGAGGCTACAGTGATGGAATCCCGCATTCCTG